CCATCCCCCTCTTTCTTTCTTCCACATTTCTCCCCTCTCTTTGTATACCTCTTTCGGTTCCCCCCCCTTTCTACAACTTTCCTGACATATCAGGATATTTGAAATGTTGGGCCAGAGAAGGTACCTGCCAATGTTGACATGAGCTACAATTTTTGAACATACACTGGTGACACCCACCGGATCTATAATGTACACACAGTCATCGTGGTGTTGTTCCTCACTATGGTGGACTAATGTGTAACATAGAAAGGCCTTAGCTTTTCGTATTGTGTGACCGAACCTAGGTCACCCTCCCATTAATGCTTGAATGATCACACCAGTACACCGTTGCTCAATGCATATATTCATGTAGCCTGATATCCTCGTTGTATATGTACTGATTGTACTTTTTGTACCCTTCTTGAGTTTTGATACTGATTGTTAAGGAACTGTTAAAAAATACTAATAAAAACTGATTCAACACTAAATGATGGCATTTCTAGAAGGAAGTTGAAAGGACTCATTCCAGCTAGAAGTGACATTTCATCTTTGGGGCATCATCTCTTGGCTTCTCATTAGCAAGGTCTCTGCACCAGCTTCTCTCCTGTGCAGCACCTGACATGAGGTGATCTCACTTCCCATGGTGGACTTTTCATTCATCTCACACTACGCAGAATACATTTGAAGAAGTGATATTCAGGCATTAGAAGAAAAAGCCAAGAGCCATAAGAAGCTGCAGGGGAGGAAAATCAGCTTTGCATGGACTACCCTTTAATCTGAACTTTTCATTGGCCTCGTCAGAATAATAAACCACTCACTCGTTAATAGTGAAGCCCACCAGACGTTTGGGCAGACCTTCAGATTTCTGTCTCTCCAAAGCATCTCGTCCCAAGAATGGGGTGCTGGACTTCAGCTTGCAAGTAAAGCCAAGCCCGGCCTCCAGGGGTGTGTCATCCGGGCGCAAGTCTGCATGCCAGTGACGGTAGCCTAAAAGTATGACAGAAGTATTATATATTCTAAGCATTGGAGATTTTTTAAAATTATATACTAGCATATTTTGTGTTGTTGTATATTTGTTATACATTCCCTATTTTCTCTATCTGTTCTCCTTTATCACAATTCCGCTGTGTTCTTCTGGCCCTGCCCAGTTATCCAGTATGTGCATGGAACGGATTTGTGGCCATGGCATCACTGCCAGACGTGCGCAGTACACCTTCCAGCTATGTCCAAAGAGAAATGTGACATGCAAGGAAAATTCACTTTTGTCTTTTTATGCTTTGCCTCTCTCACATAACAGGCAGAATGATAAAAGCAGATATCCGATTGGCTGCTCTTATACTTAGTCTAGAAATATGATCAGCCTTAAAAACTTCCCAGTGGAGAGCTGTGAACGGTTTAATGTAAAATAACCAAATTTAGTATTCAGCCAAATCTAGGATTCAGAAATTGAGGCCATGTTCATTTTAATTCAAAGGCGGTGGAAGGGAATATTGTAGAAATTAGCAACGTCAATTTCAATGAACAACGGCTATGATTTCCTGCGCTGGAAGCGGTGCTTGTTAATTCCCTTCTGCTTCTAATAGGTGGTGTAGCCAAGCTCCCCGGCACAGACCAGCAGTCACTTCCGTCGCATTAGACGGAGGCGCTGCTGAGGGAATCTCATTAAATCAGAACGTCTGTTCAACGTTGGACAAATGTATCCCGTGTGATCTGACGTTTAGGCCACAGCGGCTCTCCTTTGAGAAATGGTATGGATTCCTCCAGTTATCATGTCAAAGTGAAGACAGAAAAATGTTCTGACAAAGAGGATTGCTGTAAGATGAGCCAATTTGTTTCAGTTTACAAAAATCAATATCTTTTCATGACTAATGAGAAGTCAAAATTCAAGTCACTTAGAAAGTTAAATGAATCAATTAGGATCTCTGCTTCAAATTCCAGCATTTCAGCTAAAATTGTCTATCTATGTTTTGTATAGCACCTTCTCAGTATCACTTATTTTATAGGAGGGATGGATTTCTCTAGATCTCTTCTTATTCTGTCTGTATGGATTCTGCACAATACCTTTTCTCTTATTCTATATGCTGAATGCAGAGGCGGCTCTAGAGTTTGCGAGGCCTTAGGCGAAACCTAAACATGAGGCCCCACTCAGGCCTGTGGTGTCTCCCCAGGGCTCTGTGGGGTTTAACCAGTCTGGTGAGACCCCACAGAGCCCTGGGGAGACCCCTAAAGATCCCTGGTTAAACTATGGTTCTGTGGGGTCTCACCAGTCCTGGTTAAACCCCACAGAGCCCTGGTGAGGACCTACAAAGCCCTAATTTAACCAGGGCTCTGTGGGGACTAGTGAGACCCCACAGAGCCCTAGTTAAACCAGGGCTCTGTAGGGTCTCGCCAGTGCTCTGTAGGGTCTCGCCAGTGCTCTGTAGGGTCTCACTAGCTTGGTTAGACCTCACAGAGCCCTGGTGAGATCCCAAAGAATCTCTAGAGCAGACTAATGCACCCCTCCGCCAGCTTCTGCACTAACAGGGAACTTCATGACAGGGGACACCGATGGTCATTATGTATTCCAAGCCCA